GCGAAATTCTCTATCGAATGATATATAAAGTGGCATGGTTAACGATAAACTGGTTGGACAATATAAGCGATAAATGCTGTTGATCTATGGATTTGTGGAGGTCGGGGCTAGCATTTCTAGTGTTAGGACTCCCGCGCCCCATTTGTTCGCAATATTATATATATCGTTTTGTAGCTCGCGAAGTTCTCTATCGAATGATGTGCAGTAATTGAGGTTTTCGTTGGGCTAAGAGGAAAAATTGGGAAAATATTCTAAATAAAGTTCATTTAAGGAGAGAAAAGTTTGGATGCGGAATTTTTCCCAGGGGGGCTGAAAATGTTTTTTTTGAGATACTAGTTTTAATCACCGAGGAAAACTACATCAGACTTGTGAATATGAGCTTGATCTGAGAGGGGGTCGATTTTGCCTCTTATCAACCCCCGTCCTTTCACAAACATGTGCAGCATATTTTATACTAGAAGATATAAATTTATCATATCGAACTTGTTTGACAGTATAATAAAGATGTACTGTACATTGTTTACAATGTAGCATAGAGATAAATCCAGCGCATGTTACTGTAGCTAAATTCGAAACTAAAGACATTGACCATCTGCTGAAAGTAGAAAGAAAATTTATAATAAAAAATTACACTATTATGTTGAAATTGAAAAATGAATAAAATATCTGTTACGATATCGATAGAAAAAGTTTAATTTTTTGTTTCACTGTGTTTTTACAATAATTTTTCTTTTAAAAACGAGTTTTGATTCATAAACAATAATTGAAGAGTGATGGAAGACAACGAGCCTACATACCTTTTCATTCTCATTTTTATCCAATTTCTATTGAAATAGGATTTTTCTTATATATCTTCAATTTTCTGACAAAATTTTGATAAAGAAAATTTTTTGGAATTGTGTGATAGTAACAAAAAAAAACCTTAAAAAGAAACATTCGATTATTATCACAGTTCAAACATAATAGTTAAATTGTCATATAAAGCAAAAAAATACTTAATAAATCAAACTTTGTGGAAAAAACAAACTAAAAAATTCAACGGAGATAGTTTTTCACATCAGATATTGAAAATATGAATGTATAGTCATTCGAACAAAAAAAATTCACTGGTTACATTTTCATTTTCAAATTTGATAGTATAATCTCCCATATGACTTAAATTTGATCATAATTTTTTTCTTTCAAATTTTATTGTTTAGTCTTAGTAAATTGCTCTAGGTACTTCATCGGAAAGAGATAGGAAGTAACCTTGAAAAACTATGTATTATGAATATTATAACGCCAAATGTGAGCATATAGTATCAGGAGACTTTCTCTTTTGTTAAAGCACACGATGTTAGTTTTTCATATTCGAGATTAAATCGAGGATGTTTGTTGTTTTCTTGGTTTTTGTTTTTTATATTTTTCGTACGTCGCTAATCGATTTTCTATCAAATGGACAATCTGATATGAGCGTAGGCTTTTTAACCATCATTCCACACGTATAACAAAGACGACAACCACAAGGAATAAGAACTGCATTTGCTAGTCTTTCATAACAGATACTACATAATAATTTTATTGTTGGTGATAGTATGAGTGATGATGTTAATTTTAAATTATTAACATTTGATATACTATACAAACAAATAGCTGTTACTTGACCATATAAATCGAAAAATGGGTAATATATATCGCTATTCAATGTTTTATTATCAAGTTTTAATGATAAACGTATAGGTTGTTGATTATTTTTTGATAAATAAGTACAACCATTTTGATCATAGTAAAATGCTAATTCGTCATACATATTTATCGTCGTATCTAAATCAAATTCAATACACCATTTATAAGATGAATATTGATTGATTAATGATGGTGTTTCATCTGGTAACTGTTTATTTTGTAATAAAGTGGGATTACATGTTGTTAAACCAAATAATAAAGTCGCAGAAATATTTGAATCACAATCCATTATCTAAACAATTAAATAATAATTGATTAAAATATTCATCAAATGTGAAAAAGTTTTGACAAAAGAGAAATGAATCAACAATAATGAACTATTGCAAGATTACTTTTTAAATTCAAATGTTGTCTTCTTTTACTTACTTTACATATGAGAACATCTCCAATTTTCATTTGAGTTTGAATAAATGCATATGCTGACGTTTTCTTTAGATTGTTAACACAAACAGTTTTATTTGAATTTGTTAATATAATATTTGGAATATTTGGAAAAAATGTTAAATTGGATTGTGGTGAGTTTGTCGTGAATAAATAAGAAAAATATTGTAAATCCCACAATTCTCTATCATTAATTTTTGAATTTATTAATTCAACTGTTGATCGATAAATAGACGATGCATCACCACCTCCTCCCACATCATCAACAATCTCGACTATATCTGTTTTACCATAGACTTCCATCATAAAAAAGTATGGTCCTTGACTATCATTCATTGTCAGTAGGGATTGTGCTTCTTGTCCATATATGCCAACATTTACACTACCATCAAACGAATAATAAAAATAGAGTATTTGATTTGTTTTTAATAGATCTTCTGATACAGCTCTTAGCCAGTAGCCAGTCTGTTCTATTTAAAAAACAAAAAATGTTTCAGTTAGTACCAAAAAATGTATAGGTACTAACCTGTAAGATTTTTAAATGCTAAATTTGGTAAATTTTCCAAAGTAAAGCTTGTCTCTGGATTATGTTCAGTGAATCCAATCCGTAAAGAGCCAATCCAATCAACTTGTTTAAAATGATGACGAATATAAACACGTTCATATGTACGAATTGTTCGAGAACTAAATACAATAGAATCGGCAAAACCGTCTAATCTTGTGGCCTTTTTATTATTGTCTGATAAAATAATACGTTTCCCGTGTATCTTATTGAAATAAAGTGGCTCTGGTTTACCAACAACACGACGAGCTGGTTTCATTTTCAATTAACAAAGATTTTCTATCTGGAAAACTAAGTAATAATCGATGTTTAAGAGTCTAGTTTATTCCAAGAGATGCTAAGACAATGAGGAACCGCATCCCAATCAAGCTATATATCCCAACTGAGATATCTGCTTTTTTGTATATCCCAACTATATCCCCAGGGATATAGTTTCCTTACATAGGACCATAATTTAAAATCGCCCAAAACTAGTTAATGTATCACTTGTAGTGCAAAGATGATACAGAACATAACATATCAGTCGTCAGAACCTGAATGATGAAAACGCTTCAGCATTTTTAAAACTTTAAACTTTTGAACGCAATTTACGCAGCCGAAAACTTTTTTTCCAAACAATGTAGTTTAGGTCACTGCGCGGGCGACGAATCATAGTGGACGAGCGTGACTTTACCTGAATATTTCACTGTATGTAGGTATCTTATGTATGTCCAAAGTAGGAAAAAATATCAAGATACTCCCCCAAAAAGTGTTAAAAATATCACACTCAATATGTCACTAACGAATTTTGTTTAAAAAAATCGAATTTATATTCCGATTGGGATATATTTTGATTCAAAACGAGATATATACAGTACAGAGCATGAGACTGTACTGTAAAAACCATCCTAACAGAATCAAAAAAGGATAAGTTGATGTTGTTGAAGAAAATTTTCTCCATTGAATTTCGTCTCATTTGGTTTTTAGCCCTGCTTGAAAAAGTTCTTTTTAGGATAAAACTCAACAATAATTATGCAATACTTTGATTCTTTCAGACTAAACGAAGGACGACTATTTCGCAACGTTTTTGAGTTAAAAATACAAACAAGAAAAACAACGATGGAAGTACAAAAAGAATTTATCACACCATAAAAAATAAATCATTCAGATTCGCTAATAAGTAATATAAGAGTAAAAAAATCGACATTACAGTTTTATTAAAAATATTAAAAATGAAAAATATGCAATAAAAGGCAAAAAGCTGGTATCACATATCAGTATTAAGATCTTTTTATTTATGCTGCAAACTGGTATATACTCATTCACTTTAGAAAGAGAGAAATGCATGCTCAAAACTCTTTTCCATTCTCGTGAAATTTATCCGGGTAGAGTAACTGTTCATGTAACAATATTTTTCAAGCCTTACTCAGTTTTTATTATGTTGTAAAGTACCAAAATAAAAACATTTTTTTACCACAATGCGATTATAATCATTCTTCTGAAAGATAAGCTTATATATGCATGGTCAAATTCCATAAAAGTATTGAATAATCGTGTTTTCATTTATTAAATCAAATATAAAAGAATATTTGATTAATTAGTTACATATTTTTATACCATTTATTAATAGATACTAAAACGATTGTTACGACGCTTTAATTCTAATACAATCGAGATTGTTCTGGTGCTTCTGCAGTTGATGAAATATACTACTGTTCTCTATCTACAACCTATAACGAAAAAAAACACAAAATTGAGCATACTCTAATTGATTTAGTTGATGCAAATAAAACACAAATAAGTACTTTGAAATACGAATGTCGCCTATAGTCAATTGTGTGCTAAGAAATGTATATACTGACTTCTTCATGAGATTAATGACATAAAAAATGATCATTGTATCTAATAACACAATACTTTGAGTGGTAGTACGATGCAATGTAATGCTATATTTATTGTTCTATAAATAATTGCATAACTAAATGAGAACGTCGACATCATTATTAATATATTTCTGGGCATTGTCTGATGGTGAATGATAGGTCTTTTACAATAATGAAATAGTCATAGGTGTAATAAATAACAACAATTTCACTGTTATTCAACATATGATTACGTAACACGAGTACCCAAACGTCTTTTTATGGATCCTATTGCTTTATTGTAGAACCAAAATGCACCGTACTCATAAAATTAATGTTACGTGAACTATAATGAAGATAAAAGTGTTCAAATACATTGAACTTAAAAAACAGCAATTGTTCGATGTTAAATAACTAGAATTGATACAATTTGTTTATTTATTCTTCGAAGACAAACGAATGTTATCATCATGGTATCGAGTACTAGTAGTCGACTGAATATATAATGGCTTAGGATCATATAAAACCGGTCAAAAATTCATTAATATCATTTTTCTATAATTAATTTTAGTTTCTCTAAAAAATACACGAGTTAACGTTCATCTATGATTTCATCCGATCCCTTGATGTTTTATATTTTGTTGTTTATAGGAAAAAATGTTTACGAAATTTTGAAATCCACTAAAATATTTAATATTTATATATACGACGACATACTATAAGCCATGGGTATCAATGATTTGATTTTATGACATTATATGTATCCTCTACAACGGTGTATGCTACTTCTTTTATGTTTTTAACTAATATAAAAAGGTACACACACACACACACCGTGTTTATTATGATGATTTTAGCTTTTTATTGTATTCATCTATTTATATTAGTCAAAAAAATGAACAGTGCCTAAAATGTTTGATTATTATTTTTTGTTTTCGCTTTTTTGTTGATTATTTTTAATTTCGAAAATAAAATCATCCTAAATAATAATATTTATTATCTTTTTATATACGTTGCTATGTGGACAGGCAAACAAACAATTTATTTGGTAAGATCATTATCTTTGTCAAGAAAATAAACGAATAAGTAAAAAATACCTTCTAGAACAAGTAAACAGTATGAAATAACATATTCGAACCAAATTATTTTTTGATATCAAGTGACTTAATCCTCATGATGTGCTTTCTATTAGGGATATGAACAAAAAATCGAAATATTTCTCTCACTTCTCGTCAACGGTTAAACATAGTTATACGTCTCTTTCCAAAATTACGGGTACGCAACAACAAGCAATAAACAATAAGTGAACAAATCTATTCATCGATGTACCGAGAACGTCTCGATGAAGGTAAAACTCCATACATCTGGATTCCCAAGATAATAGAGATGTTAAAACTAATTAATTGATTGTGGTTATAAGTAGAGAGATAATTCTTGAGTCAGGATTCACATTGATACTGGCATTTAATGAAGAAGTTTTAATGAAAGTCGATGATGTTGAGCTTGTGTTGATCCAACTCTCGTCATTGTACGTTCTTACAATAGCAGAGTTCACAACGAACCATTTTATATATAAAATCCTTTAATATAGTTACACGCATATGTTTAATTACTCTGAGAAATAACTTATTTCTATAAAATACATCTATTCTTCGGAAATAAATATGTATTAATTCGAAAAACAGAACAGACCTGCAAATAAGCTTTACGATAGAGGTGCCTATGTCTATTTCTATTTGTTCAACATACGTCGAATACAGACATCTTGGTTAGACACATGATTCAGATTAAAAACAATGCGGACTGGTTCATGCTTCTAATAGTTAAAAATAAATGTGAATTGTCGGTTAGGAGGAAATTTCCGTAAAAGGCTGAATCCTAGATTAAGAAATGTTGGGATGTCTCCAGAATTTTAAAAACAAAAATCAATATGCAAAAATTTCTAAAATCGTTCAACATGCCGATCATCAACCACAGTCATTTTTGTAATGATCTTTGAAGTATTGACTGATGTTTATGTTGATCTTTTCTATTTCTATGAGAAGAAAATAGTTTTCCAATAACGAATTTCTCCTTTTTTAGTGTTTCTGTCGCTCGTCAGTAGACAAATAGAACACAATAAATGCGAAGCACATGTTAAAAGAGATATATCTCAGATGTATGTATGTTTTTCTACAATTACTAGAGGCATAATCTCACTTGGGGCTCGGAAAAACTAAGCATCTGTTGCTATAATGGGTAGAAAGAACGAAACTTTTTTGAAACCCACTGGACCAAGTGGCAACCAACATGTCTAAGACAGAAAAAATAGTCGGTAAGATATTTTAAGTATAATCGCTTAAATGGAAACAAAAGTGTAAAACAAGAATTATCGATGTTTTAATACAAAAATCAACAAACTTCGAGTTGTATTCTTGATTTTTTGAAAATTTACGTTTTATTGTATCGATTTATGTTAAATTTAAAAATCTTGGTAATTGCAAATGCTGATCTTGAACTGGGTCTTAGATTTTTGTTGGTAGTACATAGGTAGGTATTGATATGACTTTTAGTAAACGTAAGCCTTTGAACTCATAACTATCTTCGAAAATTTCTTTTTCAGCACCCGTACCACTTCCATCAACAATATAAGATTTCAAAATAGTTACCCTAAGAAATTTAGATACGAGTAGATAATTGACTGATTTATTCGATAAAGTTGGTCGATAATAGTGACTTTTCGTCTTATCGTTCTTGTTCTAATTTTTCTTGTTCGTTTTTCTGTCATGAATACAGAAACAAATGATTTGAGAAAAATTTCACTATAAAAAATTTTGAATTTGGACCAACAGTGCAATGAAATTTCTTTTTTTTATCATATATTAGAATTACCGCAGTATTCGCAAAGTCATCTTCCTATGATGTTGAATAGTAAATGTCCTGATAATTCGAATAGATTAAAGAAAGGGAAGTAGTTTTTATTAAATGCTAAGTTAATTCCTACTTCAGTAAGCTATATTTTTGTGTGACCGAGGGCGGTGAGGAGGTGCGTGGAGAGCATGAGAGTGAGCCACTAAACCACATTTGTGTTTGTTTCTCAAAAGATATCATTTTTTGAATAAATTACTTAGCAAACAAATAATTGTTTACTTAGCATTTAATAAAAACTACTTAGTATTTAAATGGGAGCCTTAAAGAAATAGAATTCTTGTCCATTTCTAAAACTTTCATCTAATGAATTTGTGTACTTGAAAAGTGCATGAACTATGCTGATTGTAACCTATGACTGCATTAATAATGCAGTCTCACACGAAAAAATGCGTATAGATTAATGTAGGAATGAGTGTTCGAAAGAAAAATAAGAATAGTATTGCTATTCTATTAGTACGACTTTGCCTATCGGTGCGCATAACACAATCCTGTATTTTTAATTGTGTTTCTCGGTACTATAATAGTCACTAACCAGCATCTTGAATAATGTACGTATTTAAGATTATTATAGTACGTAGGTTTTGTTTTATTATTGAATCATGTATACGGATTAGAGTACTAGAAGAGTAATTCCTAATGACCTCTAGCTTTTATAAGCTTCTCTTTCACTCTCTCTCTCTCTCTTCCCGTGTTTTTGTTTTTCTTCCCTTTCGTATGTTTTATCTTTGATGATCAGACACGTACAAATACAGACGTGTGGAAAAACAAAAAGAGACCGAACATGATGATTGAACATTTGTTTTTTTTTGTTCGATTTCAAGCGTAAGCAACTTTTTTCTTTTTACACAATATATGTTCGCACTATTCAACATTATCGTTATTAGTTAATCATTATCATCTACTACAACGCAAGAGAGAATACGATGAAGTTCATCTTTATGTATTCTGTTATTTTTTTATTAAACATTACTTTACATAGACATAAAAAAGAAAAACAATTTTATCATAATTATACTATTGCGTATAGGTTTGATCTGATCTAAGAACTATTTTATTCAATCTTATTGATATTTATGATTTAGTTTGTATATTCCCATTTTCATCACTACTTTTTAAGCGAAAACATTCGAAGATAAATTTATTTAAAACATTGGCAAGTTAATTATTGATTCATTTTGTGAGCTAATTAAAAAACAATTTTTTATATATTACTATAATCCTATCGATGATGTTAGTCAAGTTTTATTCGAGATGATTATCTATACACTAGTAAATGGCTGATAACTATTATAAATACAATTTTAATTATATATACATTATTAAACTAATCATACATTGACATTTTGGAATTTTGAAAATTTTTTGTTGTTCATCATAAACTATAACTGTCGATATAAACGAAATAAAAGGCCAATGACATTTATGTTCACTAAATGGGCATTGTCAGATTATTTCTCCTCCTCTATGTCTTTTTCCTCTTTTCTGATATTTTTTTGTCCAAATGTATTTATTCTTTCCATCTTGTACACGTAATTCTGTACATAAATAAAAAAAGAATATTACTTTTTATAGGATAGAAAGATAATCTTTACCATTATTAATACTATATGAATATTTCCAGAAAATTGAACACGGTCTACGTTAGGCTAATTTCTTTTCTATTCTAAAAATAGTTCCCTTGTTTATGTTCATCAATATTCGACTCTTTGTAGGTGCAAACTTTTCTTTTTTCTAAAAAAAAAAATATATATATATTTCCTTTTCTCTCTCTTTCTCCATATATATGTATGTATATACGTATGTATGGACCCATTTAGTCTTTATCATTTTGACATGTTATCATCATACTTATGGTGTTGGTACGTGTATGTGTACAGTATTGTACAGTTCCTTTTTCCTTCTTTTTTCTTCTTTTTTTTACGTATATGTTCTATTTGGTCTTATAAGTACCATATTTTATTTATTCTTTATTTCATAACCATACCGTGTGTATGTTCAGTAGTATAATAGTCGTAGAAAGATTGATTGAAAAATACATTGGAATCATTCTACACTCAGTACATAATACATAACTTGGTGATGAAGGTTAATCTTGATCATACTTTAAAACGTTGATTAATAATTAAACAACCGAAAATAGATTTCTCCTCTTTTCTGTTTTCTAGACGATCTGTTCGGTTTGGGAAAACATGCACACTTTAAGATGTAAAAAATGAATAAAGATTCTTTTTTATTATGATTATGATTATTATGATTATTATTCGCTTATTTGTATAAATTAATAATGAATTGATCGATTCTAAATTCAAATAATTAGATTATATTCGTGAAGAAAATGTCCGATTGTATGATCATTGGATTTGTTCTTGGAGGCTGCTGTATTGAATAGTTTAACCAGCAAGAAATAATAAAAGAAAAAAATGTGTGAAAGGTAAGATTTTTTTTTATTCATTTTCACATAGGTTGATACTCATTATTTAAATGTATATATATATATATATATATATATCAATGAGAATGATTGAAGTTTTATCAGCATTTGTAAAACTATTAACCGTTGTTTGTTGAATATGTGAAATGTTAAGATTAACGGTAACATTCGATAGAGGTACAGCTATAATTTTTTGATTGCCAAGAGCATTCTCTTCACTGGATTTTTTTCACCGTCAACAGATTCTATTCAGATCCAAAAGCCTTGCTTGAAGTATTTTGTTCGCGATTGACTGTTTTCGTTTTATAGATATTGTGATAGTGAAAAAATAGCTAAATTATAACATATCGTCTCGATTATTAAGGTATGTATGATTAGGGTGAAATTTTTACAACGTATGTAAAACGCATAACGTTGTGTACCCCTTCGTTGGTTTTCATAAATTAGTCTGTATTAGACCACAGTGGAAATCATTTATAAAGATTGTACTAGAAAAGCAGGCTTTTTGAAGCAAGAAGAGTATAAAATAATTCACAATCTATGAAAAATGTAATATCTGTGAAACTCAAAAGAAAAAAGGACACTACAATATTTATATATATGTTGCAGAAGAAATTAAAATCCAGTGGAATTTAAAATTCTCCTAGTAGAACTTCATATTTTAATTTTTTCTGGCAGAAATTAAAACCAACATATTCACAAACAAGAAAACTCAATTATTCAGCTTCAGAGCTCGAATTTTAATTTTCTGAAAAGTGTACAATGTTTATGGACATTAGATGTAGATTATAAACAATGATTGCGAGTCCAAAAATCACAACTTATGAGCAGAATTTGACTCGTAAACATTTTGTGACTTCTACTCGAACTCATGGCTATAATTTAGTCGGATAAGAGACTTTTGGACTCTTAGTTACTATTCATAATCTTCGTCTAATATTCATAAACATCTTGCACTTTTCAGAAAACTAAAATTCGAGCTCTGAAGCTGGATAATTGAGTTTTCGTATTTGTGAATATGTTGATTTTAATTTCTATTAGGAAGATTTAAAATTTCAATTTCTACTAGGAAAATTTTCAATTCCACTAGACTTTAATTTCTCCTACAACAGATATATAAAATTTCAGTCTAATTGTACAAGTTCTGCTGGTTAAAAGTACTCACAACTTCTATATCTCTAACAGAGTATGAATTAGCAAAAAATTTCCTCTTAATTAAAATTTTGAACTACTGGGAGATTTGAGTATCGGTAACGCTCCTACTCTATGCAAGACTGAGTTTCGAGGCTGTTGGTGTGGAGAGCTATTCTTACAGTTTTCGTCGTTATTGTTGTTGTTGTTGTTTGTAAGGTGTTGATAAGGATCTTCTCTCTAATTGAAGATTGTTAGCTATGTGATAGAAGACATATTTTGCTGACAAATTCCTAATGGGTTTACAACTGATAAATCCAGTGAATCTTTCGCTATTTTATTTTCATATTGATGATCATAATGACATATTCTATTTCTTGTTTATGTTTCTTATGGCTGGAAACTTCATTTGTCTCGTTCAAATCGCTGAGACGTAATTCAAAAAGACTCTGCGTGTACGATAAAGAAGAGTTTGTTGAGGAGATGTGTAGTGTAATCATATAAAAAAAAACCGGAAGAATATAACAGTACATAATTCTGTTCTTTTCAAAATTTTGTCGATCCTATTTTATACACAATGAAATGTATTGTTCTTATTATCGTTGCTATATATTAAATCAGCTGTGTTGTCATTATTTTTAATCTCTTGGTTTTTGTACACTTACGAGTCAAATTTGTGTTTATTCATAAAAAAGAGACTTTCTAGATTCAAATTTGAGAGTTTTCCCCCTGATTGGGATAGCAATGTCAGACGAACTCAAATGGTTCTTGATAGAATCTAAAGCGTCTTTTATGTTGAAGTTAAAATACTTTTTTCATCCACGCTATTTACGTTAGTGCTTCCGGTATCTTGCTGTCAAAATCAATCTGTTTCTAGTTTTGATACCAATAAAATAGATGAATGTAGGACAACTAAAATAAAAATAAGTTATCATCAAACACATTATTAACTTTTCTCATAAAAAAAAAAAACGAATAACGATGACAGGTTTCTTTATATCAGACTCCAAAATTCAAGTGTTATTACATGACCATCGTTAGCTCATTAGTTATAATTTATATGATGTTTTTTCTATGTATAAAAATGTCAAATATTACAAACAATTAAGAAAAAATATTTTAAAATGTTTACCAATGTTTTGATTCTCCATATAGAATAAAAAAAAGAAATTTACATAATCTATTGTCTATTATTTTGTTTGTTTTTTAGACTAGAATGGGTTGAAATTATTGAACCAAAAAGTAAAGATCGAATGTATGCAAATTTAATAACAGGTGAATGTGTTTGGCAACCACCACCATCGGCAAAAATGTAGGTATTCAATTGAATGATGTAATTAAGATTTGTATATTTATCTATAAATGCAAATGAGAAAAAATTTAATTTTGTTTCTATAAATTTCCAGAAAATTGTGAATATTACGATAAATATTTATATTTAGTGTCTATTTCTTTCATTTATATTTCAAGTAATATGAGATAATATATCTGTTTACGTATGTATATGAATATCATTTGATAAAATAAACAAAACAAAAAGACACCAGATCTAGTTAGTTGCACAATTGATTTCAATGGTTTTCGAAATATCTCTGTTAGATATATATATTGGATAGACAAAGTATATACGTTTATGTAGTAAATATTTTATTTATATACAAACTCACAATAATCAAAAAATAAAAGAAAATCAAGTTAATATAGAGAGAGAAATATCACTATATACTATAATTGAAACAATAACTAGAGAATCGGATAACAATAGCGAACATTTTCATGGACATTAACAAGGATTTATCATGTCTTTATGTAAATTTAGAATTTACCAGTAATAGAGGTTTTTACAGAGTTTAATTTATGTAAAAGTATTCTTTCTATTTATATTAACAGGTCTAATGCTGCATAGATCAGTTTGTATAGAAAATTGTTTTTCTGTTAAATACAAGTTGATCCGTAAATTGTGTTTGATTCTATATCTATGAAGAATTATTCCATATAAACATTCATTAAATAGGATAACAAAATAATTATGTTTATAATTTGTGTCCGACAAATAGATCATCTATATAGGTAGACTAAATAAGAATTTAAATCGACATTTAATTTAGTAATGATTTAAATGTGAGACGAATAGACATGTTTGTCTATGTATAAAATAAGAATAAAATTGACTACTTTTTCATATACACACTTACATTTGATTACTCTAATATATACAATCGTTAATACCAATTCGGAGAAATCTTCTTTCAAAAATAAAAAACATCTTTTAGATCGATTAGAATAAGTTTTATGTACTATGTGTCTAAATAGTGTCTAGGCAGATTATCACACATTTATGTACGAAAGAATAAATCATTTCTTTTTTATTCTATTTTAATATGTATCATGAATGAACAAACATCGTTTGCTATTTAATCTAATACGATAATTAAATAAGACATGTATAAATTGTCATCTCATTTCTATTGGACAATTTAGTCTTTAATCTTTTTTTCATATATTCACTTCATTTCAGAATGAGTGTACTACTTCTTCCGACAAGAATTTTGATTATGCGTTAATCTTATTCAAAGTTAAAACAACTATTACTTAATGGCACTTATACATTTGAGTGATGGTCTTGAAAATAAGATCTTTTAAAAGCAAATTGAACTTATTTGTGTCACATTGAACACTTCAACTTTCTTTTCTTTTATGTTCTTCTGCTATAAACGTTAAAACTTGATTGTCTTCAGGGTCTTCTAAACAATTGTTATTTGATTTTTTCTAAAGAAAATTACAAAATCATACTCAATGGTGGGAATTGTATGATAACAGCACAAAAAGACATTATTATTATAATGCCACAACACAACGAACTATTTGGAACCGTCCACCTAACGCTGACATTATTCCGTTGGCTAAGTTGCAGGTACATTTGTTTCTAGTAGTAGTTGAAGATGTCCTATTTTGTTTTTAATGTTAACGCTCGAAAAAGAAAAGTCCAGCTCTTTGAGTACATCTCTTAGTAATTACAAAGTTTCTTTTTTTTTAATTCGAAGAAAAAACGATAGCTCAGGGATAGGGCAGTGAAAGAAACGAAATTTTGACTGCTTTTACTGCTACTTCTACTTTTTTCACCCAAAACTAGCTTTACCGAAGAAAAAGTTGAATATCTGCGCCATCTTTGGACCAAATGAACTGATCTTTTTACCGCTGATAGAAGAGTGTTCATAGGTCATATCTATAAGAAACACGTTTAAAAGAATTGCTTTGAATTCTTACCGTTGACTTCAATAAAAGCTGTAACCTTAAAGGAGTTACGAAAAACAGCATAGCAGTTTTCTCAATTCTAGCTGTTTATAGCTGGAACTTTCAGGGTACGCGAGTACCCTGAGTAACAAGACATACATCTATGGTATAAATTTGAGACTCAACGACAATAGTTTGAAGAATAAAATGACATATATTGTTTATTTTTTGGTTAGGGAAATAAAAATATTTTTTCCTTACTCGCCATAGGTTAGTTTTTTTTATTGAAGTCAAGGGTATACTTTAAAGCAGTATTTTTAAACGTTTTTCTTATGGATATGACCTATGAACACTCTTCTATCAGCGGTAAAAAGATCAGTTCATTTGGTCCAAAGATGGCGCAGATATTCAACTTTTTCTTCGGTAAAGCCACTTTTGAGTCATCCTATATTCTACCGAGCACTAATATGATAGTAAGAAAATGTTCCTGAGTGTTCCCACTCGAATTGAGTATCTGTATGTTAAGTAATCTATGCTGATTAAGGATCTGAAAATCGTAACTGCAGACAGGTCTGTGTAGTTTCTGTGTGGAAACTACATGATTTAGTTTCTACTTTTGTCATTTTTAACCAATGGTACTACATGTCTGTGGGATATATTACTCTGTGAAGATAATATCTTCCAGCTCTCTACAACCTTTTGTTATGATAAGTTATGATCCGTCAAAAAAGATGCTACTTTTTTTTCACCACCAAAAATATTTTATCAAAATAATGACTGCAGCTATAAAAAGACAAAAACTCAATGTCAATGCCATTGATGAGACAATTAGAGATATTCTCTTATCACCTTGTTCATGTATTTCTTTTCGTAGATGCTCAAAGAAAATACAGAGCCAAAGGAGGTTGATGGACAAAATAGTATTTCATCGTTAGCCAACAATCCCACAATGTCTCCAGCATCATCAATTAGCCATACTTTATTTCATCAACAACAACAAGGAGGAGGATTAATAACAAATACATCTAATGTGAGCAAAGGAAAACAAATTTCTTTACAACCATTAGATGTTGTTAACAATTGTGGTATTATATCGAACAATATTAGTAAAACAACACCAACAACAAACATTTCAACACCACCTCTTCAGTCAATTACACAAAGGGTAGATAAATAGAGAGACATTGATTCCTTTGATTCAAATTTTCTTTTTAGTCTGTTCGACGTACCGCAACGATACTGCAATCGTTATCGCCAACTAATGCCATACCTCCACAAATCGGTAATAGTCGTCGTACATTCGCGCACAACGATCAATACCCCAAACCCTCCTCTTCAGCAACAAATTCAACTAATTCACCAACTTCGTCTTTGTCATCAACTTCAAGTTTTTTTCGTCGTACAATTCAGAATGATACATCGCAACAACAACGTGCAAATTTAGCAGTTTTAGATAAGTCAGCTTCTACTTCTTCTGCAACATCATCTTCATCATCGTCGGCGATTAAATCCATAGAAGATAGTAATAAAACTTTACAAACAAAATTAAACGAAAAAGCGACATACGATAATTTAATTCATTCGAATAATATCAATATAGCGTCATTGCCAACAAATTTTGAGTCTAAATCATCCCGTCATGATCGTACAGTACAAAATACAATCGTAACGCGTGGTGTTAATGAACAACAACAACAACAACAAACTGACAATTGTTATGAAAAATCTGGCTATGATAATTATCCGATCATAATAGGAAAATTGGACTTGTCGCATAAAAATAATAATAGTACAATAATGAATCAGTCAGTTAATGAACAATCGATAATCCCCATGGATGCAGGTAAAAACAGAGAGCGTAAGCTTACCAAATCTAGCTTTATTTTGTTCAGGGAATGAAACAACATTGAATACAAAACGTTTACAAAGCATTAATTTTAAACAGGAATCAGTATTGAAATCGCCACCAGGTGGTCTGCTAGGTGATATAACTGTTACATCGTATAATCCATGTGTAATGTATGAAAATAGTACTAAAAAAACACAACAACGTTCGAGTGTAAAATATTCAAAAGATCATGCGAGTACATTATGTAACGTAAATGCTGCTAGTTGTTCACCATTGAATGAATTCGTAAGAAAGAGTTTGATTATTTTCTCAGTTCTAACTTGTTCTTTTTAATCTAGTTATTCGAGACGAGTACCACTTGCCAACAATCACCCATACTCCGTCATATAAGTAGTCCATCGTTACAAATGTCAACATGTTTACTTCATAATCACTCACCTTCGCATCATTTACAAATACAAAAAAATAACAATAATATAAATCACGGCACTCTCAATAGCGCATCGTCAACATTAAATAGCAAACATAGTACATGTAGTAGTTCAAATACAAATTATTCTGATAGTCCCACAACACCATTTCCACAAAGTCCAATGAGTTTTAGTCGTTTAGCGTATGGACGAAGTCGTATACGAAAAAAACAACCACGAACAAATCCTAACTATGTTAATGTTGAAATAAAGTCAAATGATGGTTCATTACGTAGTACATATATAAAAATTCATAATTCTGAAAACAGTTCATCATCTGCTTCACCCTCTTCAAATTCTGCAACTGTCAAATCGATAACGACAACAGCAGGACAAACTACTACTACAAATTCTGCTCATTTTCATTCGCAGCCATTTTTAAATTCAAAAGAAAACAACGATCTTACACACATAGTAATGTCTCCTGAACATCATCCATTTTATCAAAGTAACGATACAATATCAAAAGGAAGTTGTTGTCCTCTTTATCCGTTACAAACGCCGACCACAACAGCACTAACATTATCTTCGTCATCTTCGTCCTCAACAACACAAAATGATGAATCAAAAATACGATCGGATGAAATGATAATTACTCAAAACTCAAAGTATAATAATAATGCAAACACATTGACAAATAAATCTGTGGCAATGAAACAGTTTCTAATCAATGAGAATAATAATTCAATGATTCAGCAACCTTTTATTTCCTGCAATGACGGTATGCATTTTTTAGTCAATTTTCAAATAAATAATTCACTTTGTTGCTCTTTATTGGCCTTATAGAGAGAATATATCATCTCTGTCTAACGTAGAGATATAAAAAAGAGAGGGTGATTTATGACTGTTGAGAGATAGTATGGGACATGAAAAAGAGACTAACGAGAGAACCTGTCGAGCCCGATAGACCTTAGTGAGGTAGTAAATATCCTAAAAGAATTCACGCCCATGACTTTTGGAGACCCGGTTTTCCGGAAAACCAGTTTTTCAGAAACTCTAAAAAATAACCAAACTTTTCTTAATGAGGCATGATTGTGGTCTGCAAATTTCTGATTAAAATGAGACGTCTCCCAGCTCTACACGACCTTTCTTTGCAAAGTTATAGAATTTACAAAAAAGCCCTAAATTAATTTCTTATTTCTGTAGCTTTGAGCTATCGTGTAGAGCTGGGAGACGTCTCATT